CATGACTTAAACAGGTCTTTATTTTACCTTCACACTTGGTTGATAGTTCAGTCATATAAAGAGCTTTTGGGGTGAACTTCCAGAACTCTAATGAAGAAACTGATAGGTTTGTGAACTGCTAACCAAGATAAACAGAGAAAGAATTAATTACATGAGAATGGATGAATTGATAAGGAAGAATTATGGGTTTTTAAGCCTTCTTATTTAAAATGTTGCTGGTTCTTTAATGTTTTATTTTTCAGATTTAAGGAAAGTTTTTTCTTTTAAGCTCTTTATAGTTTACAGCAATTTGGTGAAACATACTTTTGTAAACAAAAATCGAGACATTTGATTTTCCTCCACGTATAATCCCTCCAGAATTTGGAAACCATTTGTGAGTATTCTTATTCTTATGGCCTTATGGCTATTTGCATAAGTTCAATAAGACTCAGTTCTCTTTGTAATAGGATACAACTGAAAACACAAATTATATTTCCAAGGCTTCGACTGGAATGTCATATTTACAAATATGCATAGACTTCTTGGCTTCAAGGTTCCCAACCTTAGAGTGAATGAGTAAGTTTTCACTTCCGGGTAGACCCAGGAAACTCAAGATATTAGATATAGCCGGTAAAATTCAATGACTGACTTGGTTTGGCTTCCTAGCATTGAGAGGTTTTTAAAAGTCTAATCTGAGATTCCTTGTCAAAATTTCCAGCAGAACAACTTTAAAAGAAGCCTATGTAGTTATTCTTGCTTCATCATGTTAATAATCAGGCCAAGTTTGAGACTAACCTTACTTTGCAAACAAATTCGTCTAACCATGGTGATTATTTTTGGTAGAAATGGAGAAGACTGTACAAAGAAAAATTACATTTCAAAAGAAAACTATATCACACCTATTATTAGATTATAGCCCTGTTCATTATTTTGAGTTTTGATTATTTACCTGTAGACTGACTGGATTCTGGTTTCTTCCAGTTTTCTATAATACTTGGCTACAATTCTGCAACAAAGAATGAGAACTGCTCAGTACCTGAAACCCTATAGACTAAAGCTGGACAATTCGATATAAATTTCAAGTAACACCTCTCATGCCTGATGCATGGGTCACAGATAATTCATCAGAATGCTGATGCTACAACCAGAGACATTCAAACTGCAAACCAGGATTTGAAGTTGCCAACTTCATGGTGTGGACAGCTTTTCCCAAGACCTTTGGAACAAAGCTGTCTACCATAATAAAGTTCTAACCTATCTTCATTTTTTCTTACTTATGCCTAGCTCTTTCACTTGGCAGGATAATAGTGTAGTTAAAATTTTACAATCAGTAGCTTCTGTGGGTAACCTGCACTCCCTGATTTCATTTAATCCAATCATGGGATGTTAGATTACTTATTAATTCAATAGGGAGGAATCTGCAGTTGATGACATTTCTTGTTGCACATAGATAAATACACCAGGTTTTGTAGAGAAGACACCTTGGTTAAAATGGGTAGACTCCTAGTTTGTGTATTTGATGTTGGTTGGTGTAGGTCATCGGGACCCTGGCTAAGAAGCATACTCCAAACTCTTGGTGTTATGATCTTTTATTTATATTTATTATTATTATTATTACTATTTTTGAGATGGAGTCTCACCCTGTTGCCCAGGCTGGAGTGCAGTGGCGTGATCTTGGTTCACTGCAACCTCCACCTCCCGGGTTCAAGCGATTCTCCTGCCTCAGCCTCCCGAGTAGCTGGGACTACAGGTGCTCGCCACCACGCCCAGCTAATTTTTGTATTTTTAGTAGAGACAGGGTTTCACCATGTTGGCCAGGATGATTTTGATCTCCTGACCTCATGATTCGCCCACGTCAGCCTCCCAAAGTGCTGGGATTACAGGCGTGAGCCACGGTGCCCAGCCCAGTGTTATCCTCTTAATAGTCATAATATTAGTACCCCGGTGCATTTTATCCTCTTAAAGTTTTAAAATTTTCATACAGCCATCTGTCAAATCTCAAAAGATCTCTCTCTAGCTGGAACAACCAAATCTCAAAGAAATGCATAATAAGGAGGCCACTGATGGATACAGGAGACAGGTAAGGTAGAAAGGAGAATCTCTAACCGGTAGGTGAACTGGGAGGGCGGGGTGGAGCCTCGGAAGTTCACACCATTTGCAAGGGGTAGGAGCCTGACGTCACCTGTTCCTGCGTGGTAACCTGGGATTCAATAGGTGAGGTGCAGAGCCTGTTAGCTGGATTCCATCTCACTTTGCTGAGATGTTTTCCCTTTTTCCTTTTCACCCAATAAATTCTGTTCCCCGTCACCCTTCAAAGTGTCTGTGATCATAATCTTTCCTGGTCGTGTGACAAGAACCTGGATTTTCCTAGAACACCATAACCTATGGACACTATAATCTACAAATGGCATGCTGAGGCTGGAAACCCAAAATAATGGTAACAGAGTAATGTGGATGTCCTAGATTTTGGTCACACTCTCACTTAGGTGAGCATGACCAAAAGGGGGCAATTGTTAAATAAAAATTATAAGAGGCTATTGTTTTGGACTAAGTTTCTGTACTAGGCCCCAAGAGATCAGACTAAAAATCAAAATGGAGTCACCCATGCTAAAGTTTCATGTCACCAAACCCAAACTACTCTGTTATTTGATCTTCCAGAAGAAAGATGTAACAGCCAATTTCCCAAACAGGCCAATTTAAATCTACAATCGGCACGATAATGAAGTTCCCTCTGCTTTATTTGTTACACAACAAAAGGTAGTCTGAAGTAACCTGATGTTAATTAATCAGTTATTCTTCTATTGTTCTATCTCCCTGTCCACATCCTACAAGAAACATAGCTTTGAGGCAACTAATACATAACTTAGAAGCAACTCTGTTCTTTTCTTCTGTTTTTGGTTTTGTTTTGTTTTGTTTTGATTTTTTGAGACTGAGTCTTGCTCTTGTTGCCCAGTCTGGAGTGCAATGGCCACGATCCTGGCTCACTGCAACCTCCACCTCCCGGGTTCAAGCGATTCTTCTGCCTCAGCCTCCTGAGTAGATGGGATTACAGATGTGCGCCATCATACCCCGCCAATTTTTGTATTTTTCATAGAGACGGGGTTTGTTATGTTGGCCAGGCTGTTTTGCCTGCCTCGGCCTCCCAAAGTGCTGGGATTACAGGTTTCAGCCACTGCACCTGGACTTTGCTTCTGCTTTCTTCAGCTCTTCTCTCTCTGTAAAGCCAACCCTTTCTGCTCAGTTCATCAGCACACTTATTCTATTTTATGAAATGAAGTGTTATTTGATGCTAGAATTGCAATAAAGCCAATTTAGATCTGAAAATGTATTGAAATTTTGTCCCTTGACATTATTTTTGACCATTTTTACTTTTAATCTTCATACTAGTGTCACGTATGATTTACCCACCACCACTGCAGTATTGGAGTGTTCTAGATTTGACTATGTATTTACCTCTACCAATGAGTTTTATACTTTCATATGTATTTATGATAGTAATTATTGTCCTTTTGTTTCCAGTTAAAGAACTCTCTTAAGCACTTATTGTAAGACAGATCTAGTGGTAATGAATTCCTTCAGCTTTTGCTTGTCTAATGAAAGACTTTATTTCTCTTTCATTTCTGAAAGCAGCTTTGCTGGGTAGTATTCTTGGAGTGAAGTGGTGCCTTACCCCCAGGGACCCAGAGCTCAAGGAGTTGGCCCTAAGGTGAGGGTGCACCAGAGACTTGGATGTGGGGGATAAGTGGCTAACTGATAGCTTGGCCCTAGGGGGTAGGTCATAGCAGCAGCTCTGCTCGAGGATGGCACACTACCAGGTGGCCATGGTACAGTGGCGACTGAACCTCAGGGATGGAGGGATGCAAATGCTACTCACTCCCAGAGTAGGAAGCACTCCAGCAGTGGTTCTAGTTTCAAGATGGCACAAGGAGGTAGCAGCACAAACCAGGAGTGGGTCGGGTGGAGCGCAGTGTGGGCTCCTTCTCTGGGGGTAGCTCAGCATATGGAGTCTAGGGACTTCCCTCTACTGGAGTCAGAGCCTTTGAGGACTGCAGAAGTGTTTGTAACAGTGATGAAGGTTGCTGGGGTCCTCTTGCTTAACTTTTCCATCACAGCTCAGAGCTGATCCCAACTGGGGAAAGGGTGTGGTGGAGGCAAGGTGTTTCCTTCCCTTTTGTTTGTGGCCCTTATGTGTTGCTGTGGTCTACAGGATTTCTGCTGCTTCTTTGCTATTCTCCTGTGCTCTACTTTCGTTAGCTAGCAGCTCCTGGTCGGCCATTTTGCTGGTATTCTGAAAATCCTTAACGAGATTCTGGACTTCTCATAAAGATATTTTGTTACTTAATATCATTGTCAGATCTCTGTTTGTGTGAGGGAATGAGAGCTGAGACTCCCTATTCCACTATCTTGCTGATATCACTATAGTGAATAAGTCACTTTCTGATTGTTAAATTTTGGAGTTCACCAATCTATCTTAATTATTTTCTAAATCAAAAATAAAATGTGTTGGGTAGGTAACTGGGACAAAAGCAGTGTTTGGGGCGTTAGGCAGCTTGCACGAAAATATTTTAACTCTGAAAACTTTCTCACCAACACTAACAGCCATATATTGTCTTAGTATGGCAGATTTTTTGAGAAGTTCCTATGTATTTCAGAGGCTCCAGATTGATATCACCTGCCAAAATTTTGCAGCTAACTTAAATCAGCCCTAATGTCATTGATCACCTGATAACAAGCTCTTCTTTTTGCCACATTTCTAAACTGTTGTTTTCAGTTTAGGATGTGGTAAGAACTTGCAGTTTCTCTCTTGACTCCCAGTGTGATGCCACACAAAGCTTGGAATCCAAGTGCAGGTATTAGCATAATCAGAGCATGATGTTCCAAGAAAGAGATAATTAATTTGGCCCTGCAGGATGTGCCATGTTTCTTGGACAACTCAGTGTACAATTTGAGATTTACTGAGACATGATTGGGTTCTTGGCATTTCCATTTATTTGCTCCTTATTACATTGTATTGTGTCAGAATGACAGTTTGGGTGAAGCAATATGTCCCTGTAAACCACTTTTCCAAACCTTGCAAATCTACAGTAGTGAAATGTGATGCAGTTATGGTCAATGATATTAAGCATAATATTTTTGGTGGGGCATCTGGTAAGAACCTTAAAAGAGAGGAAAAAAGTAGTTAAGAGGCATTATCCGTTAGCCTTTGCCTTTCTGCTTTCTTCTGCATGAAGCATGGTCATAATGTTGGAGTCAATGCAGCCATCTTGCAAACAGTGAGCAAAAGCACAGTCTAGGAATGTATTAAAAGAAGACTAGAAATTGCCTCATACTTGATATCATTGTGAAGCTATTATAGCATTCCTTGATTTTCTGTTATATAAGAGGAAAAAAACCTCTAATTTATAAAAGACAACATTTTTCATGTTTTACATTACAGCCTGTTGTACTTGCTAATAGATTATGTGTTATAGATCAAATGTGATTTAGAAATATAGCCCTTTCTCCAATCTATCATTGATGGGCGTTTAGGTTGATTCTGTCTTTGCTATTGGGAATAATGCTGCAATGAACATACGCTTGCATAGAGGATCAGGAAAAATAAACAATGGGTACTAGGCTTAATACCTGGGTGATGAGATAATCTGAACAAACCCCCATGACACAAGTTTAGCTATGTAACCAACCTGTACATGTACCCCTGAACTTAAAAGTTAAAAAAAGAAATATGGTCTTTTCTTAAAGTTATGAAAGTGTTGTTTTCTTTCTTCATTTTCATTTTCTTTAGTGTCTTCAGTTAAATATGAGGGGCTAGCAATTATTTCAGGGCACCTTTATGTGAAAGGTTGCGATATATTATTAAGTGAAGAAATGTAACTTAGTAACTTTAGAAAGAGTATCATTTCAATTTTGAAAGCAAATTAAAACCAAAAAGTAGATATCTAGAGTCTATTCTGTGCATATTTCTTGAGGTAACAGATCTGAGGTTTTATTTTCTTGTGTGTTAAGCTTCATCAACTATTTCTGTTTTTATGACTACTTTATCTCTAGCTCCTTGACCAGAATAGGTAGAAGCAAGTACTCAATAAATACTTGTTGAAAGAATAAAAACATGAGTGTATAATTATTATCTATGTGTGCGTGCATAGATAATATCTATGCACACATACACACACACATCTATAATACTCTATACTAGGGTGTAAACAATACGTTGGGGGAAGTTATTCAATTTCTTTTAGCTTGCCTGTCTTTTCAGATTTTTAAAAAATTGAATGAGGTTTATTTCTGTCAGAATAAAATTAATAAAAGAAACTTCATCATTAAAGTAACAATAAATTGGAAGAAACTGGAAAACTTAGGTGATTCTTTATTCCATGTATTATTAATCCTGTAAGAGAAGATTATAATAGTCATCCACTTTCAGTTTCAGCACTTTAATTCCTTCCTCCTTTTACCAAAATTAATTTTAGATTGATTAAGAGTTAAATGTAAATAATAAAGCAGTTGAAGATCCAAAAAATAAATGAGAAGATTTTAGAATAAAGTAATTTGGTAAGATTTCTGGGTGTAACATTAATATAAAAAGTAAACACTTTCTTTAATAAAAATCTAGAAAAGGTGGCGGGTAATAGTGGACTGTACATGCACTGAAGTCTTATCTTTCACTCAAGTATTCTAGAAATGACAATGAAACTATAAAAACAGGCTGGGCATAGTGGCTTATGCCTGTAATCCTAGCACTTTTGTTGGCCAAGGCAGGAGGGTTGCTTGAGGCCAAGAGTTCAAGATCCACCTGGCCAACATAGCGAGAACCTGTCTCTTTTTATAAAAAACAAACAGAAAAAAACATAAAAACAAGTAAATTAACATAAAGCCCTGCTTAAACACATATGATAGGAATCTCATTGAAGCAGAGAATGTTTTTGAAAACATGATATTGATGAGATCAGATTGAAAAGATATTCTGAAGCCTAGGAGGATTATGACAGAGTACAACTGTAGGAAGTAGAGAAGGTGCTCTATCCACAGAGATTACACATGTTTGGAGGAGGAGATGCTGTGGGACAGCCAACAAGGAAATGAACTGGAATACTGCAGTAGTATGCCGCAGTTTGAAATGAGCATATAAAGCCCTCTCCATGAGACACTGCAACAGAGAAAGGGAAAGTAGCATCTGTCTCCAAAAAGAAGCAGTGGTGCAGCTTGGATGGCTGACATGCCCAGAACAGGTCCCAAGTAACATCACTAAGCAGCCTTTATCTCTAACTTCCTCTTACTAAAAACTAAAAAGAGAACAATAGCTGCCACTCTCTCCCTCATTAATTAAGCACGTAATTAATATATTCAAAAGAATAAGAGGCTAGTACATCCATGAAATAAACCAGGTGCTCATGAAAAGGACCAATATTGAGATATTAGTGATTAAAAACATAGCTGTTAAAGTATAAACTTTAATATGTATGTTAATTTTGTAATAAAGCCAGCTAGAGAGTAACTTATTAGTTACGGAAAGCTGGATGGCAAAATGCAGATAAAAAGGAGGAAATAGGATAGAAAGTATGAAAAAATGTTAAGAAGTATGAGGAACAGATCAAGAACTTTCTAAATCAAATAGGAGAGTAAAGAGGAGAAAATGATAGAATGGAGTGGAAGAAATACTAAAGAAACAAGGAATAAAAAATTACAGAAATAAAAAAAAAATGAGTTCTCAAATTGAAGATGTCCACTAAGAGTGTGAGAGGAAAAAGAAAAACAACAACAAAGCAAATAAAATTGACTTCCAGATCCACTAAGATGAAATAGGGTATTTTTCCTAAGTCCTCTCTTTTACCTCTCAAAAATCCTGAACATAATACAATAAACAAGCACAGGAATACTTTGAAAGGTGGAAAGAATACAGTGGACTACTTATAGTCCTCAAGACTTAAGGAACTCCATGGTCTCAGTTCTCTGGGTTTCCTTATTGTCTTGCATATATGCAGGACAGGTGCTACAAATATTCCAATGCAGAACAGAAAAGAAGCATCCTTCTGTGTCTGTTGCCCCATGTAACAATATCAAAAGTGCTTATATTGAAATTATCCCAGTCCAGGGGGAGGGGGTAGAGAAGGTTGGGCATAAAAAGCATTTGAAAAGAATGTCAGCTGAAGTAGTCCCAAATGTAGCAAAAGACATAAACCTACAGATTCAAGAAGATGAGCAAATCCAAATAGGAAAATTCAAAGAAATGTATGCCAAGACACAGCCTAATAAACTACTGGAAGTAAAGACAAAGACAAAAGTTTTAAAGCAAGCAGAGGGAAACAACACATTACTTATAAGGGAATGCCAATTTACATGACAGTGGATTTTGCCTCTGAAACCATATAGACCAAAACTATTGTTGCACAACATTTATCAAGTTATTAGAGATATGACAAACCCACAGCCAACATCATACTGAATGGACAAAAGCTGAAGCATTCCCCTTGAAAACCAGCACAAGAAAAGGATGCTCTCCTTCACCACTTTTATTCAACACAGTATTGGAAGTTCTGGCCAGGGCAATCAGGCAAAAGAAAGAAATAAAACTCATCCAGATGAGAAGACAGGAAGTCAAACTATCCCTGTTTGCAGATCACATGAACCTATGTCTAGAAAACCCCATAGTCTCAGCTCAAAAGCTTCTTAAGCTGATAAACAACTTCAGCAAAGTCTCAGGATACAAAATCAATGAGTGAAAATCACTAGCATTCCTATATACCAACAGTCAAGCCAAGAGCCAAATCAGGAATTCTCATTCACAATTGCCACAAAAAGAATAAAATACCTAAGAATACACCTAACTAGGGAGGTGAAAGATCTCTACAGGGAGAACTACAAACCACTGCTCAAAAAAATCAGAGACGACAAAGACCAATGGAAAAACATTCCATGCTCATGAATTCTTCCTAGAATGGATTGATTCTTCCTAGAATCAATGTAATGAAAATGGCCAGACTGCCAAAAGCAATTTACAGATTCAGTGCTATTCCTATTAAACTACCATTGACATTCTTCATAGAACTAGAAAAAAAACTTTTTAAAATTCATATGGAACCAAAAAAGAGCCCGAATAGCCAAGGCAATCCTAAGCAGAAAGAACAAAACTGGAGGCACTATACTACCCAACTTCAAACTATACTATAGGGCTACAGTAACCAAAACAGTATGGTAATGGTACAGAAACAGATATATAGACCAATGGAACAGAATACAGAACCCAGAAATAAGACCACACACCTACAACTATCGAATCTTCAATGAAGGTGACAAAAAAAGAAGCAATGGAGAAAATATTCCTTATTCAATAAATGGTGCTGGGATAACTGGCCAGCTATATGCAGTATATTGAAACTGGATCCCTTTCTTACACCATATACAAATATTAACTCAAGATGGATTAAAACTTAAATGTAAAACCCAAAAATATAAAAACACTGGAAGACAACTTAGGCAATAGCATTCAGTACATAGGCATGGGCAAAGAATTCATGATGAAAACACCAAAAGCAATTGCAACAAAAGCAAAAATGGACAAATGGGATCTAATTAAACTGAAAAGCTAAATTAAACTAATTAAGCTAAAGTAAAAAGCTTCTGCACAACAAAGGAAACTATCAACAGAGTAAACTGACAACCTATAGATGGGAGTAAACTTTTGCAAACTATGCATCCAACAAAGGTCTAATATTTAGCATCTATAAGGAACTTAAACTAATATACAAGAAAAAACAAACCCCATGAAAAAGTGGGCAAAATACATGAACAGACACTTTTCAAAAGAAGACATATACGTGACCAACAATCATATGAAAAAACCTCAACATCACTGATCATTAGAGAAATGCAAATCAAAACCACAATGAGATATCACCTAATACCAGTCAGAATGGTTATTATTAGTTGGTGGGAGTGTAAATTAGTTCAACCATTGTAGAAGACAGTGTGGTGATTCCTCAAAGACCTAAATACAGAAATACCATTTGACTCAGCAATCCTATCACTGGGTATATAACCAAAGGATTATAAATCATTCTATTGTAAAGATACATGCATGCATATGTTCATTGCAGCATTATTCACAATAGCAAAGACATGGAATCAATCTAAATGCTCATCAATCATAG